GAACTTGTGAGGAGCAGGGTATTTGACTGAAGAGATTTCTAAGCAAAGTGCTAAAGTTCTAGGCTGTTGTCTTCTTGCTGCTTATCATAAAATGTGAGAGGAAAGAGATAAAGAAAGGAATATTTGTTTAGCAAAACAAACTAGCACTAATTATTTGGGAGGTTCTTGAGCTACTGAGGTAACAAAGGATGATAAAATTAGGAAGTCCATTTTGGAAAAACACATCCTAAATAGAGGGTGAGTGTGTGCCTGGACAATCTTTTGCTGAAGATGTTAGAATGAGTCATGAATCCACTCATTTGCTTTTGCAGAAGACTGAAGTAGGGATGCTGTGTCCAGGAAGAACTAAGGAGGACCCTCCTCACTTGCATAGGAGACTCACAAAGTTTTTGAGAAAGTTGAATCTGCATGAATGGGATCAGTCTGGACTGAAAGAAACAGATTCAGGACAAAGTGAGGAGGGCTGTCAGAGTTTCAAAATTCTTTAAGTAGGAAAATGGCTGGAACTACTCTGCGGCACATGTGTACTACTCTTTAAGAAAAAGGGAGAATGGCTCTGAGGAAGGTCCATGCCACTGGGGGCTCCATGGGTCCAGAGGGTAGGGCATGGAGCACAGAGGAGTCTTGCCAGGCTTGAGACCCAGTGGAATTTTCCTTGCTGCATTTGAACTTGCCTGGGACAGGCAGCTTCTTTATTTCATACTATTTCCCCCTTTGGGATGGAAATGTCTGGTCTGTGCCTCTTCTACCCTTGTAGCTTGGAAGCAGATACCTTGTTCTAGTTTCCAGGTCTATAGATGAAGACAGACTTTTGATGAAGAGGGATTTTGCCTCAGGATGGGTGAGACCCAGAATCTCATTCATATGGTCGTCCCTGTGGCTGGGGATTTAGCTCAGTGGCACAGTGCCTGCTTGGCAAGCACAAGGTCATGAGTTCAATTCCTGGTACCGGAGAAAACCAACCCCACCCCCAAAAATAAATAAATAAACATATGGTCATCCCTTATCTAAGGGGAATATGTCACAAGACACTGCCCTCCAGTGGATGCCTGAAATTGAGGACAGTACCTAACTACATACATACATTTAATGCTTTTTCTTCTTAACTAAGCACTTAACACACACTGTGGTAGTAAGCTTTTCAGTTTGAGGTGCAACAGCAAAACTAGCACAGATTTTTTTTCCTCTATTTTACAGATAGATTTGTTCACAAACATAGATCTTAGCAATCTCAGCATACAATTTTTTCTCATTAAGTTGAGAACTTTCACCTTTTCAATTAAAGGCAGCACTTTACAATTTCTTTTTGGCATATCCAAATTGCCAGCATCACCACTCTTGCACTTTGGGGTCATTATTAAGTAAAATCAGAACATTTTGAACACAAACACTGTGATCCTCTACAGTTAATCCAGTAACTGAGACAGCTAGTAGGTGACTAAAGGGTGGGAAGCATAGCATGGAAACACTGGACAAAGGGCTGATTAAAGTCCTGGGCAGGTTAGAGGGAGACAGTGAGAAACTTCACACTACTCAGAATGGTGTACAATTTCAAACATATTGTTTATTTCTGGAATTTTCTATTTGATATTTTCAGAGAGCAATTTACTGAGGGTAACTGAGACCATAGAAAGTAGAACTGCAGATGAGGGAAGACAACTATACCTGATTCAATCATGAGCTGTGGGACTTTAGAGCTGAAAATATTCAGATGAGATTTTGAACTTAAGAGTTCATGCTGTCAAGACTGAGACCCTCCAGGAGGCCGAGGAGCACAATAGCCGTCTGTTGGCCTTGATGTCCTTTTTCCATTCACGGTTAGCCCTAGCTCCAGTGTCAGTCCCTCCTAACACCCCAGAACTTCCAGGCCTGCACTGTAGGATGCTGGGCATGGAATGCTTCTGGGTGCAGCAGCTCTTGTCTTGTGTCTACTCAGCCTGGTATGGGGACACCCAGACAGAGAATTATGCCCTGAGTGGACTGGCCAGATGTAGGGCTCCACTGCCAGCTGTCCTTTCATCCTGGAGCCTGCAGAGGATTGACAAATCTTAGGACCCAGTTTTCCTTTGGGAGTTGTCAAAGGAAGCTTTGGGAGCTTCTATTTACCTACAGAAGATTCTATTTCCTCACTTGGGGGCAGGCATCTGACTTGGGTTTAGGGCTCTAGCAGGGGTGAGGATGGAGGGTCTCCTAGCTCAGCATACAGGTATCCCCATGAATCCCTCCAGGCTCCTCACTCTGTCTTCTGCTGCACCTGGTGTTCCTGTGTCAGGAGCCCTTCTGGTCTGTCTATATAGAGGACTAACAAAACCCAAATACCCCAGTTCAGGGACATGGTAGGGCGCTTTGGGATTCTGTTGCTCTTTATTCAGACATTGTTTTAGTTACTTTTCTCATTGCTGAGACAAAATACCTGACACGCGCAAGTTAAAAGGGTAAAGGTTTATTGAGCTCACAGTTTGTAGAGGTTTCAGTCCATAACTGGATGGTTCCAAGGTAGGGTGGCTTGGAAGAGGGACATCACAGAGAAAAAAAGAGTTCATCACAGGCAGAAGACAGCAAAAGCAAGCAAGCAAGGGACAAGACCAGCCTCTTTCTGTCTCTTATATTGTATCCAAACTGCAGGGATAAGGGCGATGCCAAGCCAATCAGTGGACTGGTTTAGTAATCACCCATCCTTAATTCCAGCACCCTTAATCCTAGCACTGCCCCATGAATCAATCACACACTGTAGATTTAGCCACTTGTGAAAAAGTCCCATCTATGACTGCATGAGGCTTTGGGTGGACATTAGACACAAGCCATAACAGATGTATCAGTCCTCCTCTGGTAACTGCTCTCCCTAGTGTCCCTCTTAACTGCAAGTCCTCAGCCTCTCAACCTTCACTGTGACATTTGCAGCCAGTTTCTTTACTCTGTCAACATGAAGTTTTCTTCTCCTGTTCTCTCTGTGTCTTTTTGTGTGCAATGGTGTGTGGGGTATTTGTACCTTTTATTCTTTTTCAGTCATTTTCAGAGGTCTGAGTGGTAAAGTAGTCAGAAGCTGCTGCTGTCCTGGGGGAAGCCCCTGAGATTTCCCATGTGCTAGGGAGGAGCTGTTTTGCCTCCTCACCCCATCCCAAATATTCCTCCACTGGCTCTGTGTGAGATACTCAGAGAACCTTCTTAGGGCAGGCATTGCACCTGGTTCCTTCAAACCCTTCAGAGTGGCAATGACAATTGTTAAGCGCTCACTAGAAAAAGGCCAGCAACCTATCTCTGCGTGCAGGGCAGTCAGGCTTGTGGTACATGGTCGGTAAGGCCAACTTAGGTTCTACTGCTGTCTTCCTTGATCTGTGTCCAAGAGGGTTGGCAGGTGGCTGCATTCACTGACCTTCCCAAGAGATGGGTTCCCCCTTAGCCAAGGAGCTATAGATGGCCAGTTGCCTTCTAGCCCCTAAAATGTCGACCCAGAAAGGACATGTCACTCGTCATTGGTCAAGCACGTTAGGGTGCCTCATTAAATTTCCAAGGTGGTAGCGAGGGCAGAGCTCATGGTGGCTGAAGGCTGTACGCCTGTGCAGAGGAGGGACCAGTAGGGCAGCCTGTAAGTCAGCCAGGGGACCTGTTCTTCCTCGTTGGTGGCGGCAGCAGCAGCAACAGCAACACCCCTCTGGGAGGTCATGAGTTGGAACGGCCGGCCTTGTTGCCTGACCACAGGACAGAACCTCAAGAAGCAGATGCCTCGAAAAGATAACTAAAAAATGATTCTTCAGTGAGAAAATAATTAGGCCTGGGAAGCCAGCCACTACGCGAAGAGCTGTGCCTCAAATGCTGAGCGCTTTATTCCTTTGGTCATTTGTTGACCTTGTGAGGGGCAGAAGTACATGGAAGTTAAATCGCCCCCTAGCCTCCCGAGTACAAGCAAAGGCCGCGCGCAGAATCCAGCTGTTAGCGACAAGGCCCCTGCAGGATCTCGTTAAGATCAGAGCACCCTGCACGACTTGGGCATGTGATTCCAGGGCAGGCCTGGGGGGATCAGGTGCCCGGGGTGCCACGTTGGGAGATGACTAAAGACCATGTCCAGAGACCTGAAAATGACACAAAAGCTCAGCGTTGCCACGAGCCCCAGTGCGAGAGCGCGCCAGGCTCCGCGTCCGCCCCGCCCCCACCCGCCGGGGAGCAGCGCTCGGGCGCCGTCTGCTGTCACCGGAGAGGATCGACTGGAGTGCTGCGCGTGGCTGGGCGTCCAAACCCAAGCCCTGGAACGGACCCGCGCTGCCGCTTCCCGCCGTCCTTATCTCGGATCCCGAGACTGGCCTCGCAAAGTGCACAGCCGCAGGCCGAAGTTTGCGAATCGGCTGGCAGAAGTCCGCAAGTCTTTTTTCCACGAAGGCAGTGGGAGTGGTAAGGCCCAAGGGAACCCCCTAGTCACCGCGGGTCACAACACTCCGGTGGGTGAGCCAGGTCTCCGCCACAGTGGTTGGTAGAGCCGTCCCTGCCTTCGGGAGCTCAGCCTTTCGGGGCTTCCGGGAAGGGCGGCGGAGGCGGGAGATCAGCGCCCGACCTTTCTCGCTATAGTCCCCACAGCCTAGTCGGCGCTACAACCCTCACTCGCGCGCGGCCCAGACCCCTCTTCCTCCCCCAATCCCGGCGCTAGCGCCGCTCGGGGCCCCGCCCCGCCCCGTCCTGACCCCGCCCTGTCCTCGGCTCCGCCCCGGCT